TGTTTACGGCACTCAAACATGTCACTCATTTTCATGCAACCAATTCCCTTTAACATTTTCACGAGAGCAAGAATCAGTGATTTTTGATCTTTGTATTGATTGGTTTCTCTTTCCCTGTTACGCTTTTAACCAAATGTGATGTGGATTTATGTACACAAATGATGAGATTATCACAAAATAGTTGAATTTAACACATCCAGTGATCATGATGCTTCTTGCTCTCATGAAATTATCATTCATTGTCTCCAACTATTGATAAAGCTGATAATGAGGTTCTAATCCAGTTCCAGGTAACCTAACGCGACCGAGGTGGGTAATTGGGCAAGTTTTCTGATCGGGGTTGTCATACCCTCGTGTCAGGCTAGGGCAACTATGGACTGCTCAAGTTGCACAGCACACAGTCAATAAGGTGCTGTCTCATCCACGTTCCGACTATCACATTGAGTGCATGAGACTAAAATCCAATTCCGATCAAGGAACCGACAATCAGCACACTGGCAAACAATATTTTGAACCGAAGTCTGAAGACCGTAGGTAAAATATCTCTAGAAGCTCCCATACGGGTGCTTCGGTCAAGCAGTCGCGTTGGATCTCGACTCCAATGCCTTGTAGATCAAACTTTTAAGTCTATGGCCCTGAGTAGGGTATATATACATCTGCATACAACGTGCCCTCTATAATATATTAATTTGATTAGAATTATTCAATTAGTGCATAAATCGTAAATTATTATTACCAGCTGCCAGTTCGAATGAATCTCATTGGAATTTCATACAGAATAAGAAGCCATCAGTGATCTGACTGTAACATTCATCTCCGGAAACGATCAGCAGCTGTCAAAATAATCAATAGTTTGATTGTGTAAGGACTAGTAAAGATTAATTATAAGAGCAACATCAAAGTATGTCAAATGACTGGTCTTGTCCATCGAATTCCCCTTTAATTTGTACATTGTCGGAAGAAGATTGAGAACGGTTCAAGGTAAAAATACACTTAAGGCATTTTTCGCGATTCGGATTCACACTGGATAAAGTGAATTACATAATGAGATGGAATAAGCTTGTGTTACATACGACCAGTCCTGATTGGTTAGATATGGAAACAGTATTGATGATATCATCAGCTTATTTAAACTATCGCACAAGGGAAGTAATAGGTAAGTCACTGATATAAGTCGAGAAAAGATAGGATGCTAGAACAGTATCGCATTGACTATCTACTTCACAATTCAACATACTGATATCTGGACGGAAAGTAATTATCAATTCATTCAAAAAGAGTAGAGGAACAATCAAATGATTGGAGCTTGGTAGGGGCACCGAGTCTGGAATGGAAAAATAATCAATAAATGCACAGTGCTCATATTTGACTTTCTCGTTGAGGGAACTGCAGATGAAGTGAACTAGAGAAGAAACGGCCTTCAGTTTGGCAAACAGATGGCATATTCAATGTTCATAATCATACCACAACAAGGTAATAGATAGGGGTTTACAAATGAAAAGGGG